ATATTCGCTTTCAGCTTCCTTATACTGGACTGAAATCATTAACTTATAATTTTAATATCAGGTTTGAGTGTTATGTTTGGCTGGGCATCAATAAACCATTTTTGACGCAAGATTTTCGTGCCCTGTGTTAATTATAATGATAATAATTACACTAGCCGGGGTACACAGATGGCAGATATACATGAACATGTGCCAGAGGGGTTCAGTAAGTTCTTTTTACAGTCCTAATGAGTTAGTGGTGGAGGTGAACACTGTACACAATTCTGTAAGAAGATATGATCGGGCACTGGAAGCCAGAAATCAAAAAGGACTGTGGATAGAAATTCAAAAGTCTGGGCAGGAGCTGTGACTTGAACTCCCGTGTTACACCTCGGTACCTTTATTGATAGAGAGGTTACATTCTCTCTGCTTCCACTGTCTCAAAAATTTATTCTGTGCATTGGATCGAAAAAGGAACTGGTACCTTTGATGAGTGTCGAGAGTCTTTCTACTCGTCTGGTGCTAGCCTGGTCAACCAGGCTGTATCTGCTGGAGGCACGTTGCCCCATATATCTATCACAGCCTGTTGATCTGACACTTCATCAATAAAGATACCCAGGTATTATATATGTCTTATTTATAAACTTGTCGGTATTATACACCATTGATGGAAGAAATCACAATAAAACGTGTGAAAAAATGTCAGTGAAAATAGCAAATAAAACCTGAGTGTTTTCATGTGCTTACACACACATCTTCCTCTGAAGATGTGTAAGCACATGAAAGTATTCAGGTTATATTTCCTATTTTCACTGGGTATTTTTCTTTCATACCATTACTGTAATGAATCTTGCAAATAAAACTCAAGTGAGTTCAAACTGCTGACATACCTTCTCACCACAGGTTGGTTGCTGCTACTGCTACTGCTACTGTTGCTGTTGTGTGCTGAGCTGCTGACTTCTGTGAGTTACTTTCCACATTATAAACCTTTTCTGACCTACATAACCAGCGAGTGTTTACCAACGACTTTAACGATGATGATGGTTCACCCGCTGCCAGACTTTAATTGTCCTCTGCTTATAGACTCCAGAGTTGTTCTCCAGCAAGTCATCTGTACAGCCTCCCACCGGCTTTAATATTTACATTTTTCACAAAGCCACTGTATATATTACACCGTTTGGTACTTTGTTAATGGTGTTTCTGTATATATTACACCGTTTGGTACTTTGTTAATGGTGTTTCTGTATATATTACACCGTTTGGTACTTTGTTAATGGTGTTTATATATGTAAATATTGTCTTCTCTCTCTCTCTCTCCCTTCTCTCTTTCTCTTAGATTCCCTCCCTCTTAAAACATGTGACCCCCGAATGTACCTGTGACTTACCTTTGACTCCGTGTACCTGTGACCCCGTGTACTGGTGACCCCGTATACCAGTGATCCCGTATACTTGTGACTCCGTGTACCTGTAACCTCGTATACCGGTGACCCCGCGTACGTGTGACCCTATATACCGGTGACCCCGCGTACGTGTGACCCTGTATACCGGTGACCCCGCGTACGTGTGACCCTGTATACCGGTGACCCCGCGTACGTGACTGTATACCGGTGACCCAGTGTACATGTGACCCTGTATACTGATGACCCCGTGTACATGTGACCACGTATACTTGTGACCAGTTACTCGAGTTTTATTTTGGTAGCCAGGCCGTAGACCAGACCTCCGGACCGCGGGGGCGTTGATCCCCGGAATGCCCTTCAGGGTGGCCCCCTACCTAACCCTCCCCCTTCTCAACCCGCCCCCTACCCTCCATCTTCCTCATCCCACACCTAACCCCTCGCGCCCCCCCTCACCCCTCCTCCCCACCTTTTTTTCAAATCCTCCCCTTCACCTTCCTCAACCCACCCTCAGCCCTCCCCTCATCCCCTACCTACCTCCCCCTCCCTTAGTTTTCAATTGACAAAGAAGAATAATGCCTCGTGTTACTAATTGCTAGTTAGAGTGAGTTGGAGTGGCTTGGAGGGGCGGGGGAGATTATAGGAGGGGTGGTGGTGAGGGTAAGAGGGGTGGGGGTGAGTGAGAAGAGGGGAAAGTGGGATGGAGAGGTGATGGAACCAGGAAAGCAGGAAGGAGGTGGTGGAACCAGCAAAGTGGGATGGAGAGGTGATGGAACCAGGGAAGTGGAATGGAGAGGTGGTGGAACCAGGAAAGTGGGATGGAGAGGTGATGGAACCAGCAAAGTGGAATGGAGAGGTGGTGGAACCAGGAAAGTGGGATGGAGAGGTGGTGGGTCCAGGAAAGTGGGATGGAGAGGTGGTGGAACCAGGAAAGTGGGATGGAGAGGTGGTGGAACCAGGAAAGTGGGATGGAGAAGTGGTGGAACCAGGAATGTGGGATGGAGAGGTGATGGAACCAGGAAAGTAGGAAGGAGGTGGTGGAACCAGCAAAGTGGGATGGAGAGGTGATGGAACCAGGAAAGTGGGATGGAGAGGTGGTGGAACCAGGAAAGTGGGATGGAGAAGTGGTGGAACCAGGAAAGTGGGATGGAGAGGTGATGGAACCAGGAAAGTAGGAAGGAGGTGGTGGAACCAGCAAAGTGGGATGGAGAGGTGATGGAACCAGGGAAGTGGAATGGAGAGGTGGTGGAACCAGGAAAGTGGGATGGAGAGGTGGTGGAACCAGGAAAGTGGGATGGAGAAGTGGTGGAACCAGGAAAGTGGGATGGAGAGGTGGTGGAACCAGGAAAGTGGGATGGAGAGGTGGTGATGGAACCAGGAAAGTGGGATGGAGAAGCGGTGGAACCAGGAAAGTGGGATGGAGAGGTGATGGAACCGGGAAAGTGGGATGGAGAGGTGGTGGAACCAGGAAAGTGGGATGGAGAGGTGATGGAACCGGGAAAGTGGGATGGAGAGGTGGTGGAACCGGGAAAGTGGGATGGAGAGGTGGTGGAACCAGATGATCAGTAAAATGATACACTTCCTGTGATGGTCACATCCCCAGTATTTATTAAGCTGCTCTCTTCCCGTGTGATACACTGGGGTCTCCCTCCCCCTGAGTGACAAACGGGGGCTCAGCCCCCTGTTTGTAATACATGAGGGGAGGGAGTCATCCTTACCAGAAGATATCAAGAGCACTGTTGGGGCAGTTATAGAAGTCTTCAAGAAGAAACTGGACAAGTATCGTGACATGGTCACGGACCGGGTCGGGGGCGTTGACCCCCGAACCCCTTTCCAGGTATACTCCATGTATACCATGTGCCCTATCAACCAGGCCGTGATGGGTATGTGGGCCAGCGGGCCGCTAGCGGCAAGCACCACACTAGCTTGGTCCAGGGCTGGGCTTCAGGAGTGGAACAGCTCTGGTAACTCATGAAAGGTATATCGAAGGTAGATAAAGGCTGTGTTACAGACAGGAGCTCAGCTTCACCCTCATTTGTGACAAGGTTCTCAGTGTTTGCCACCCCTGTGTGGGCAGAACAACATGGTCTTCAGTCTAGACTCATCGTTAACAGTTTCTAGTCACAGGAGACTGGTCGTTCACGGCCTCCAGTCACTAGAATGGTCATTCACAACCTCCGCAACCTGATCAGTCACGGCCTGCAGTCTTCAGTCACTCTCGACTGGTCTTTCACAGCAGAATGATGGGGTGTCCACAGCCTCCAGTCACTCTAAACTGGTCGTTCATGGCCTCCAGTCACCAGGCTAGTAAGTTCACAGCCTACAAATACTCTAGACTGGTCATTTACAGCCTCCAGTCACTCTAGACTGGTCTAGTTCACAACCTCCAGTCATTCTAGATTAGTCGTTGACTGCCTCAGTCACTAAACCGGTCGCTTGTATCCTCCATTCACTCTAGGCTAGACGGTCACTTCCTCCAGTCATTCTGAATTGGTCGTTCACAGCCTCCAGTCACTCTAGATTGGTCGTTCAACTTTTCCAGTCGTTAAAGACAGGAAGAACACAGTCATACAGACAGGAAGTGTAAATGGTATCCCACCCCGGTAGACGCGTCAGAAGTATCCTGTCACAGTAGCAGACAGGATGTTCCTGGTCTTCACTCTGTGAATCCTGCTCATTTATATGTTCTGATCACCTCTAGTATTTTGCATAATGATAGTAATAATAATAATAATGATAATAATAATAATAATAATAATAATAATAATAATAATAATAATAATAATAATATTATTATTATTATTATCTGATGCCCTAGCACAGAGCTGTACTTGTTATAATGACAATAAATCTATAGTAGTGGTAGAGTACTAAGGGAATGGGAGGCGCTCAGGTTTGATTCTAGGAAGGTGAGGGGGGGTTAGCTCCAGCTCCTTGGATCAAGAGCTCTTTACCAACATCCGAAGACTCACCCCTTCACACATATGTCCATTATATGGCCTAGGGAAAATTCTGGCCACATTTCCTATGGGCGCATATGTTTGCCCATTAATTATCCGTTTCCACAGGTGTTCCATAAATCAGGGGCCGTGTGCACATGACTTGGGAACGTTCACATGTGCACATGACTTGGGAACGTTCACGTGTGCGTGGAATACTTGCTGCCTACCTCCATTCATATCACCTTGTAGCTTATCTTTGCCTGATAGCCAGGCCACTACACGATACATGCGTCCTTAGGTATCCACCTCATAAATAGCACTTTGGTACAGCTGCCTTCTTTATTGAAATTTTATATGAATTTGGAGGTATCGGGCATATAAGATTTTTGGAAAACATTAATTGCGATATATGATTTTCGAGTTTGTTATGTGTATATTAACGGGATAATATAATGTAGAAAATGAAGAACGTATATTTAAATGAGACATATTTATAGGCGAAATTGATATTGGTATCTCTGTACGGTTGTAGGTTATAAATAGTTTTTTATATAGACATTTTTTGACGAGTATGTGACATATCCCAGGAGATGCAGCCGGGCACCACAAAATTTGTGTGGGGTGGCTTAGGACCGCGCGTCGCTGCTAACATACGCTTGGTCCTCAGTTGCCAGTGTGGCTTTAGGGGGTGAGGGGCTGCTTGGTTGCTCCGGGTTGAGGAGGAAACTTAATATATGGTTTGTGGTTCAGTCAGTGAGTGTATCTACTGCTGTATGTGTGATAGGGTGGTATGTGAGTGCAGTTGTTGTGTACCGTGTGGAGGATCAGTGTTACGGTGGATTTACAGGAGTCAGCATCAAGGGAGGATTGGGACTCGGCGTCTGTTCGTGCGTCGGCTGCTGTTGGTACGTCCTTTAAGGGTTTTTAACCTTATCTTCTCTATTTCTTTTATTTTCCCCTATGTATATGAGTAGTGATAGAGAGGTAATGACGTCAAGGTAAGCAACATATTGGGTTACCTGTCATTTAAAGTCTGGGTGTGGTTTAAAAAGACTTGTGTTATAGACTGGGCGTGCCAAAAGAGCAGGTTTGACTTTGCGAATTAAATTTTTGTGAATTTGAGAGAAGAAGAAGACAGATGTTGACTGGGTTATATACTGAGTCTAGCAAGAAGCTGTCTACGTCTGTGAGATGAGTGGCACTCTGATCTTGGTGGTGGTTAAGAGGGTAAATCATAGGCCTACCCTCTGGCATCAGTGAGGCTGTGCCCTGAGGAACCATAGCTTGACACCATACATTATCTGCTGCCCAGGATCACGTACTCCAGGTTCGCATACCCCAGACTCGCCTGCCCCTTGGACACCACTAGAGGGCAAGTTAGGCGTGCGGCCTTCATTTGCAGTAAGGGTTAGTGGGAACAGCGTGCAGGTCTGGGTCATTGCCACTGGGTACAGGCGCAAGGGGCCAACACCAGCTTTGTGTGTGTGTGTCTGCCATCCTCCTCCTGCTGCCACTACCCTGCCAGCTTTGTGTGTCTGCCATTCTGCCACCTTTGTGTGTCTGCCATTCTGCCACCTTTGTGTGTCTGCCATTCTCCTGCTTCTGCCCTGTCAACTTTGTGTGTCTGCCATTCTCCTGCTGTTCTGCCACCTTTGTGTGTCTGCCATTCTCCTGCTTCTGCCCTGTCAACTTTGTGTGTCTGCCATTCTCCTGCTGTTCTGCCACCTTTGTGTGTCTGCCATTCTCCTGCTGTTCTGCCACCTTTGTGTGTCTGCCATTCTCCTGCTTCTGCCCTGTCAACTTTGTGTCTGCCATCCTCCTGCTGCTCTGCCACGTTTGCGTGTCTGCCATTCTCCTACTTCTCCCCTGCCAGCTTTGTGTATGCCTGCCATCCTCCGGCTACTGCCGCCCTGCCTGATCGCAGGCCATGACCTTCCCTCACACATGGGTGTGACCTGACCTGGCCTCCCTACTCACGTCTTACAGTCACCTAATCCTCTTTGACCTGCTGTTATTACCTTACCTGCACTGCTTCTGATAACCTGCCTTGCCCTGCCCTACACATTAAAGTGACCTGACCTGGCCTTTTCGCTTGCGTCTCTCACTGTCACCCATCCTTCCTTGCCCTGGCCTGCAACTATTCCCAATGGAAACAAGTCACTTTTTCTGACCTTTTTTGGTGTTACCCTAGGCAATTTTACATGTTGCTATATATTGTAACTGTTTTTATATATACCTGTGCCTAAATAAACGTGCCTAAGGTAAAAGTTTCAAAACAAACATTTATTGGGACAATGTTTCGTGTTTTACCGTGTATAGCTTTATTATCATGACTTGATAAAGCTCTACACAGAATACGTCCTAATGAAAGATTTTTCTCCCGTGTTTTCTTCACACATCGGTACGCCATTTCGATCTACCGTACCAATAGTCTACTCTTTCCCACACTTTAGTGTGACCTGATGTAGCCTCTGCTCGCTTCTCATACTATTGTTACTTAATCCTTGGTAAGGGATGGTATTAAATACAGCTAAACTTGTGAATAACACGTGTAGTGTTAGGTTTATTTCATTCACAGGAGCGAAATTAATATCAGTATTTACCCAAGTATTACGTATGTAGTACTGGGCAGGAGATGCAACATACCCCCAGTGAAAAGTAGGGGCGCCATTAGTACACTAAGAGAAAACACAATGAGTGTCCGGGGCCCAAGACTGTTTAGCAACCTCCCACCAGTCATAAGGGGAATTACCAGTAGACCTTTGGTTGTCTTCAAGAGGGAGCTGGACAGATACCTAAAGTCAGTACCGGATCCGCCGGGCTGTGGTTGGTACGTTGGACTACGTGCGGCTAGCAGTAACAGCCTCGTTGATCAGGGCCTGATCCACCGGGAGGCCTGGTCATGGACCGGACCTCGGGGGCGTTGATCCCCGGAATACACTCCAGGTAGATGTATGTTTAGAGATTCTATCCTTCCCGACCTGACCCAGCCTGCCCTGCCGCTGCAGTTGGTGACCCAGTAAACAAACTGGTGGTGGACCACTGTGATAAGATTCTTACGACTTTGAGGTATGTTTGTGAGTAAAGAGTGTCACCAACATCTAGACCTTGGTTCGCACTGTGTGCACTAACCAACCGATTAGATAACACGTTTCAACCCCTTAGTAACCACTTACATGAGTTGAAATTTTATTGCCAAGGAGACTAGGGGGGTTTAATGTCATTTCTCCCCGAATAAGGCCAAAATATATCTTTTTTCTATTTTACCACTAGGTATATTTTATTGCGCAGTATGGTACACAAGGCTTAAAAGATACATTGATGGTACAAAGATGGTATATACAACACATGAGGTTTGAGGGATACAAGTACATATGGTTACGTGTTATATATATATATATATATATATATATATATATATATATATATATATATATATATATATATATATATATATATATATATATATGCCTAATAGGTAAAACTGGCCAGTTAGCAAGAATTAGTTTAAAATTAAGTCCTTTCTAAAATTTTCTTTTATACGTTTAAAGATTTATTTTTTCATTTGTGTTAATGTAAAAATTAATAATTTTGTACCAAAAGAACCTTAGAAAACTTAACCTAACCTTATTATAACAAGCGCAGTTTAATTTAGCCTAATCCGACTAAATATATTTTAGATAAGTTATAATAATAATAATAATAATAATAATAATAATAATAATAATAATAATAATAAACGCAATGAAATATATTTTTTTCGTTTGGTTCAGAATGATTTTTGCGAAATTATTGCATACACAAATTATTTTCGCTTGCCATATTTGGCAAGAAGAGCGTTATTGTTTAAGACTAAATTGCGTTTTACCTATTCGGCACTATATATATATATATATATATATATATATATATATATATATATATATATATATATATTATATATATATATATATATATAATATATATATAATATATATATCGTACAGAGTTTACTTTAATTCCTATATCGGATATTAAAGTATACTGAGACTGCTGGTATACAGTTGATATGCAGCCATAATGCTCCTTGGGTAGTCACTAGGCTTTAAATCTAATACACTAACTGCTTCGATATTCAGTACAAACAAATTATAATAATCGTTAGTTTGAAAAAGTTGGAACTTTATTTTAAATGCTTAAAATGTTCTTTCTAGAGCTCTGATTTTTTTTAATGGAAAGAAAATGATCATTTATCTAAGAGGTTTACTATTACAAAACAGAAAAAAATGTATTTAAGTAAGAGGGTTATTTTTTTAAAAAAATATTCTGATTTTTTTTTGCAATTAAAAAGGCTTTTTTTTTTGTATTGTACTAAGGTTAGTTTTTATTAGTGTTCAAGTTAGAAGCTTTATGTTACTCATATAGTAGTGTAGAAATTAATATAGCAAGGAGATAAATGGTAAATTCTACTACACACGAGTGGAAAAGCAAAATACAATACATTTATAAGTGGAAAAAGCATTGTTTATACTAGACATGTATAGGTGGAAAAACATTTTACTACACGTGTAATTTAATAGGATGCTGCATTAGACTACACTTTTATAAGCAAAAAAAAAAAATAATACTGCACATTTAAGTGTAAAGATGGAAAAATTATGCTACACATTTATTAGTGAAAAACAAACATTGTACCACATATTTATTGTGTATAAATCAATTATACTCGACGTTTACTCGTTGTAAAAAATGCTTAATGTTCCGTGTACAGTATATGTGTAAACCCTTAAGTGTCTTCATGGAGGGATTGGTACCAAACCTGCACACGAAAATCACTCCCCATGAAAGCAAAAGACTCGGCAGGAGATGCGACATTCCCTCGATGAAAAGCAGGGGCGCCACTAGTACACTGAGAGACAACACAGTAAGTGTCCGGGGCACAAGACTTCAATTGCCTCCCAGCATACATAAGGGGGATTACCAATAGACCCCTGGCTGTCTTCAAGAAGGCACTGGACAGGCACCTAAAGTCAGAACCTGACCAACCGTGCGACTAGCAGTAACAGCCTGGTTGATCACACTCTGATCCACTATGAGGCCTGGTCTCAGACCGGGCCGCGGGGGCGTTGACCCTCGACACCCTCTCTAGGTAAACTCCAGGTATGTCAGTGAAGGGCTCTTGATCCTTCCCTTGAATCAAATCCACGTAATTAGGCCACTGTGACGTTAATGTACACCTATGTTACTATACAAGAAATTTTAAGAATCTAAACTTGTGTAATGAATCTAAATAACAACTTGATTATCTTGCATTTATCAGGCGCTGTACTGGCCCCTCAGGTTTACAACTTTACCAGGAATATAAACATTATTATTAGTGCAAATGAGGACGCATTAGACTACATATAAATATGTGGTGCAAAGGGGAATGTTATACATGGCATTTACCGAGTGTAAGTAGTAAATTTATTCAGGTATACACAAATACAGTTATATAGATTGTCACACATAACACATAGGAGGTTAGACCTTAATAAGCTTTCCTAGTGCAAAAGAAGGGATATCATACTAGTGGCTAAATTATCATTTTTTTTTAATATGGAACATTTTATTATAGTGACTTAAATAGACGTTAATTATTGAAAATGTTCAACATTATAACCGATCTTTTATAAGCGCAAAGTATTGAACATTATACTAAACATTTATTAGTGCAAAAGGTGAATCCATGATCTTACTGTAGTAGTGGTTAAATTAGATGTTTATTGGAAAGTATGCAGTATTACTAGTGTGTATAATTAAAAGAATACGTATATTAATACAAACGGCGAATTATATTAGGTTTGTTAGTGTAAAATATTGAACGTTACATTAAGACATTTGTCAGTGTACAATACGATACAGTGTACAAGACGCTTGTTAGTGC